GATTTAATTACCCCCCCCCCCCAAACCTTTCCCCCCATTTTTTGAAGGTCAAAATTACCTTATTACTCCTGCCTGTGGGGTACTTAGAATAAAGATGGCGGAAGATTATGCGGCCTAATACGGTGAGATGCGGGATGCGGCTCTAATGAGGAGAGATGCGGCACATATGCCGGCGCATCTCTCCAAACGGCATATGCGGGGAATTTTGATGCACTGCCCAGCGCATAGCACCTGATGCGGCCACATATGCAGCAATGCGGCCACATTTTAAAACACTGCAATTTAGAGTCTTCTTTCCCTTCTCATGTGGCACATTACCATCTAATACTGCCAACAACCAAATTTGCCACCCCACTAAAACCTTCTATAAAACCTAGCCATACCTCTCCACACCTTAGCTAAACTAGCTTAAGAGCGACTTTCAACCATATATCACTCCACAGCCTCAAACTTAGTTTCGACCCTAGATTTGCCTTGATTCAACCTTGGGATTCATCTCATCACCCTTTAGTCTTGCTAAACCTGCTAAATTCCAGCAAGCTTTAACCCTTGAAACCCTAAAACCTATCCTAAATTTACATAAACAATCCAAATCCTTCCATATGATTATAGTTCATTTATACCTTGTATAATCCAATAGGAAACCTCCATAAGGCCCAAAACCCCGATATCCTAATCTTTATTGGAACCTAAACCCTTTAAAACTCCTAAATCCGAACCCAACCAGAATTCGCAATCATACCCAAACCCTTTCATTCTACACCCTACTCGTGTGAAAATCATATAGAAGTCAAACAATCATCATACCCTTTAACAAACCAAGGTTTCCACAGAACTTCCATCTAGCCTCCTAAATCCAAACTAGCCCTTTTTTTTGTGCCATCTACTAATTTTAAGGCATCACTATAGATTAGGAATGATCTCCTTTTTATTCCCCCCCTAGAAGCCAAGGGGATTACCCTACACTAAATTCTTAGTACCAAGTTGCAACAATAAACAATTGAAACATCCTCTTAAAAGGCAAGGTGTTACAGGCAAGTGAATCAATACTGTTGCATTGAAGAAAACATGTTTTAAGAGAAAAAGCCTTCTCTTAGGGGTTCTTAGTAGTTAGTAGTTAGTAGATAGGGAAGCAATGGAAGGATGATACAAGGAAGGCATGTCACAATGGCCCCAAGATTCCATCTGTCGATTACGCATAATAGCCATTCCAAAGCTCTGATTTCTATTACGTCCATTGGTATTTTTTAGCTTCGAGTTACCTAGTTGGAAGAGAGAATCGCCAAAAAACAATGAGCTTTCGCCAATTTTAATAATTTTTGTAAAGTTTTTTAATTTTGAGCCGTTTATGGGCTCCTACATTACTCTAGCAAATCCACTCCACCTTCCCTGTGTTAATCGGCTCCCACAGGCTGATTCCCAAGGCCAAGCCTAAGCCGAGTAATTTCACATTGTTAGAAACATATGAATTTTCGTTCAAGGTACCTCTGTCATTGAGAGTAAACTGTGCGATTACTGACCAAATTAGGACACATTTGCCCATCTTTCTGTATAACTTGAAGTTGTTAAGAATATTACCAGTCAAGCTTATGCCATATGCACCATGCACTTTGACCCTTTCCAGAGTCCAGACAATGTATCTACATGAGGATGAGAAGTCATGTTAGAATATTATTAAATAATACATAATATGCCTTACAATAGCAATATGATTAATATTCGCAGAACACTTATACTATACATACACACATACATAATACACATACACATACACACAAAATATGTTATACATTCAATTTATAATACACGCACATGCACGCACGCACACACACACACACGCACGCACACACACACACACACACATATAAATGCATGTACACACATATAACATGTTAAAATATTCACAGAACACATAATATGCATTATACATACA